TGGCCGACCATGCCCTGTGAGACCTGCAGGTGAACAGAATCAGTCCAACCTTCACACATATTAATACACATGTCAGGCAGAGCAGCTGAGAAAAACAGTGTGGCCACAATGTCCTAAAGAGGCTCAACTGAACCCTTCAATGGAAACACATATACATGTTCAATCTTTTTCATGGAAAACACAGCCAGTGGAACATTAATTCCAAAATACAGCTGACAGGAAGTGTTATGATAAAAAAATGTTATGATATAAAGTAGTGGAAGGATGATAAAAACTAGTGATGGTTTGTTTGGAGCTGAAGCTCTGGGGCATGTATCAAAGAACAACACTGTGTTTCTGAAGCTCTGCTTGATTCGTTTGGAAAAAGTCGTGTGATCAATGACATGTGAAGCTTTGAAAGTGCAGAAGTCACGTCACTGCTTTGGAATCCGATTCAAAGCTTTGTGAAGTCGATCAGTGGCTGTGGTGTTTTGGTGGCGCAGTTTGTGCAAAATATAACAAACCAGCAAACAACAGAGCGACATGGAGCCGGCCAGCCTGGTGTGTTTTATGTGTTATCAGTTCATAAGCACTTTTACCTCAAGGAAAAAACTTTAGAAAATCACCATGTATGTAAATTACAATCTGATCTCACAGTAACATAAACTGGTTCATTACATCATGGAAGCAGGAAAGGCACAAACATCAATCTCAACTGGTGTTGTGTTGTGAATTAGACATGATTTATTTTAAAAATCTGTGTTTGCACATGTCAAATCACAAGCAAAGGGGCATAATGCCATGTCACATGTTTATTTACCAAAATTATGTTTTCATGAACTATTCATTCATGCTCATGCTCAATCATCCAGGTACAAAATCCAATAATGGTCAGTCAGGTCATCTGGACAGTTTATTTTTTGTGGAAAGTGTTTCACCCTCTATCCAGAGGGCTTCTTCAGTCTGAGGAGTCCCAAGTAAACTGTTTACCCACTAAGCAGTACACTCCTTTAGTGGACCAACCAGTTTGCTGGTGATAAAATGGTTTCTTATCACCAGTTATTCTTATCAGATGGCAAACTGGTTGGTCCACTAAAGGAGTGTACTGCTTAGTGGGTAAACAGTTTACTTGGGACTCCTCAGACTGAAGAACCCCTCTGGATAGAGGGTGAAACACTTTCCACAAAAAAACTGTCCAGATGACCTGACTGACCATTATTTCTGTAGAAATTAGATTTCACTTTGACATTCAGAGTTGTTGTTTGTTTTTGTCAAAAAGTCTTTTTATATTGACCACAACTGATTTATCCATCCATCCATCCATCCATCCATCCATCCATCCATTATCTTTACCCGCTTATTCCATTTTGGGTCACGGGGGTTGCTGGTGCCCATGTCCAGCAATCACTGTGCGAGAGGCGGGATACACCCTGGACGGGTCGCAAGTCCATCACAGGGACACATAGAGACAAACGAGACAAACAACCATTCACTCTCCCACTCACACCTAGGGACAATTTAGAGTTACCAATTAGCCTAACATGCATGTTTTTGGTCTGTGGGAGGAAACCGGAGTACCCGGAGAAAACCCACGCATGCACGGAGAGAACATGCAAACTCCACCCAGAAAGGCCCCTGGACCGGGGTTTGAACCAAGGACCTGCTCGCTGAGAGGCAGCAGCTCTACCAGTTGCGCCACCGTGCTGCCACAACTGATTTATATTAGCAATAAAAGAACAAAACATTCAAGGAGGTGAATATGTTTTACAGGTACGGTATATATCAGAGGACTGATTGTGTGTGTGTGTGGGGGGGGGGGGGGGTGTAAAGGCTTCATTTTGTTTCATGCCCCTCAGTTAGCAATTTATTTTAATTTAAAAAAATATTGAGTGTTGCATTTAGTGTAACTATGAAGTTTATAAAGTTGTTCAACTGTTCCAGATAAAAAAAGAAAATGATTTACACAAACAGTCTAGGAAAGACACCTTTTCCTCTTTTTTATCTAAAAGATCTGATTTAGTTTTTGCATCTTAAGCAACACGTACATGGCATTTGTCATCAAGTGCTCAAAAACAAACACATTTAACTTCTTCACTACGATCTTCTCAACTCACCAACTTTCTATCAAAATAACAGTTTAAAAAATATTTAGCTTCTTCAGAAAGTCAACTAAACTCAGCTTTACTCTTGAAAGAGGAGTAAAGAGAAGTCCCAAATTTATTTTATTGATACCTGTCTTGGCTCCAATGCATCATCCAGACCAAGGCCACGGATGTGGGAATGTGCTCCTAAACACAATGTGACAAAAAAACATCAGTCACGTTTAAGAAAAAATAAATAAATGCCAAGTAGTTTAAAGGAGAAATGTCATCGGGTTGCAGCCGTTGGAGACTCAACATGGTGAGACTTTAGGTAAAAGTGTCAGTGCAGTTTCACTGATTGCGGAGTGTTTGTGACCAAGTGAGCCATGACCGCATTTTAAAACAGACAGTTTTTGAAAATCACTAATTTCATGTACACAGCTTGCAAAGCTGTATTCTAAATCAAATGCATTTTTTTGTTTTCCATCTTGAACCCATCTTGGCAGCCGCCACCACATTTATGATTTAATCTGCACTGTTGAAATGAAGATCAGCAACTTTGGACCAGTTTTTGAAAAATGATTAATCATCTTCAAGCTGGTTTTTAGACCTAGATGATGACCTCAGATGTTTTCAGTCAGACGAGAGCGCTTCTGTGCAGGATTAATGAAACAGCTGTAGTGCTCTTGAGACAGGTTGCAGACCCTCACGATACAATTCAGGTGGTCTCTGGGACTATTCTGAGGGAAAATTTACTGCACAAACTTAAAAAAATATTCACAACTTGAGTGGCAGGACTATTATATATATATATAATATAAAGCAACTGCAAACTGCAAGACTTTCTGAAGACGTCCCTCCAAACGCTGTTTGCCAACTAGTCACAGTCCTGTGAGAAATGGCCTTTAGATACAACCTACAATATGGCTGCCACCCCCAATAATACATCATCTTTATTTAAATGATTAAGTGTCTTAAAGTAAACATGTTTTCCTACCAATTCTCTCAATCCTTGTGATATCACGAACCTCTGGAACTTTTGTAGTCGCCATCTGGATCATGTGAAAAGCAGTAAAGAGAAATAGGCCATAACTTAAAATCACAATTACACCAAGTAAACAATAACTAAATAAACAATGCCAGTTTGTTCTGTATACATAAACAAGAAATGTCTTCAATTAAGAGGCATCAAAAGTCAGTGTATGGTACATCCAACCTATATTTGTTCTAAGGAAAAAAATGAGAAAGGTTAGCATTTAACAAGTTAGCTCTCTGTTGGACTGTCTTGATCACAACACGTTCTCTATTAAAATGCCATCACATTTACATTGTTAGTTTGGAAAGAAGCTCAGAAGTCTCTGTAACTGAAATTAATTGTCGTGTCCAGTCGGTTGTCAGTGACAGATGTACCGTCGTATGTCAACACAGAAGAGCACAGCTAGATAATTTAATACGACTTTTTTTATATTTTAGGGAAACGAGGAATAAAGAACTCGTGTGCAACCAAATGCATGTAAAAAATAAAAGCATATACATTAAAGCTACACATCTATTTTGTTTTATCGTCACGATGGAAATAGACTACCCGGTAGCGTGTTGCCTGTGGCTAATGTTGTGCTAGCGCATTAGCTTCTAGCTCCATTCATAGCTTTCTTTACACATTACCGGCCGCAACAACTCAAATAAGGCCACTATTTATGAGACATAACCAGTGTTTTAATGACCGTAATGAAGCGACAACAACCGGATGCAAACCATTAACGTCTGAAGTTACATCTTTTTGTAACTGCATGCACTCACCTGCACGCACTCTTGGGCTAACATGAGAAAATGAGGCGCCTCGTTCTGAAAGTGCACCGTGTAAATGTGTCCGATGAGAAACAACGGCCTCTTTTTTTCCCCCCCACGGACGTTTTACGCGCTCTAATAATGAAATCTGGCTAAAAAGTAAACACGATGTTTTAATTAAAACGTCTTATCTAGGTAGGTACAAACAGAAACTTTAAATTACATTCATATTTAACTTCACAAAATGCTGTTTAAGATGCTTCATTTTTGTATTTTGTATATAAAAAAAACCCAACAAAGTCTAATCCATACAATCCAACAATTTTAGTCAGGTTATCTGGACACTTTCTTTTTTGTTTGTTTGTTTGTTTGTTTGTTTTGTTTATTTGTTTGGTGCCGTCCAGATGACCTGACTGAAAATTGTTGGAGTGTATATAAAAAAGTTTTTTTTTCTAACATCAAAGTTTTTTTCTAACAGTTTTGTCAAAGTCCCACATTTTCAGTTAACCAAAAGGTTTGTCAGATTAATGTTAAAATACAGTTTTATATTGAATCGTTTGGAAACCTTATAAAACTGTTTATGTTGCCTCGTGTTAAATCCAGTCAAAATATAATTTAAACAATGCATGTATTTTTGTTTTTAAAGATTTGTGCAATCGTAACATGTGATTCTTCACCTGCCATTGTGTATCTGTTCCTCTCAAACCCAGACGGTCGAAGCAGATGGCCACTTGTCCTGCGCCTGGTTCTGATAAAGGTTTCTTCCTCATGAGGGAGCTGGGGCCAGTGAAAATGATATATGGATATATCAGTAAGGTTTAATCATTAAATCAATTACTGGACCTGAACTGTAAAGCTAATGAACATTTCTACAATTTTTATAACATGATTCCTGATTTACAGTAATCTAATGAAAACTCCTGTAAGTTGCACTACACGCATTTGTCCAGCAGAGGGCGCAAAGTGTACATGTGAAATTAAAACTAAATCAGGACAAAATAAGAGTCTACGTTGTTAAAATAAAAACAAAAACGTCAACATTTCTGCCAGACAACTTTATTTTAGGAACAACATGTATTATAAATTGACAATATCAAAGTAAACTATTTAGATTCAAAGTTCACATTTAGGTTGCAGGCTCAGACTTTCCACATATCAAAATAACTTCATTTTGACAACAACATAAAATTAAATAAAACCTGAATTGACTACATGACAAATATATTTAGACATTACACGTTTTAACTCCAAACCTCTTACTTTCTGTTTGCCTATTCTGCTAAATCTTCCAAAACCAACACTCCTGCTTTAACATAAACTTTTTATAATTAATCACTGATGGGAAATATCATCTGTAGTTTGCCTTTTTGTGTGAATAAGAAGCTGGGCTTTAAAAACGTATTAATAGTGTTTTTATTATACAAAATGTGAAACAAAATGAAACCAGTTTGTTTTATAATTTCTACTGATAAAAAAAATAGGCATTATATCAAAGGGTAATAACATATCAATCAATACAGCTTTGATTATTTGTTAATAAATTGTTAATGCCCCGTCCCCTTCTACCTCAGGAACCTTTTCCACATTGATTAAAAAAATTCACATTCATCACATTTTCCCTGACCAGCACATTTTTGTATGTAAAAAACAAATCTATTGTAAAAACGTGCATGTACACGTACAGAGCACTGTTTTCAGTAAACATTCGTACAGTGATCGTCAGATGTGAATCACAGCTGCAGGATGGTGACCGCTGACTCATACCAAACCCAGAAGCCCGGATACACAGGTTCACTAAACGAGGCCTTGAAGCGGTGGATGAGAGACATGGTCTCTCCGATGGCGTAGAAGGAGAGAGCGCCCCCGTCGTGGTCCAGGAACACCCCGATGCGGGAGGAGTAAGGCGCTTTGACATCGATCTGCTCCTTGTTGTGGCGGGCGGAGTAGCTGGAGTCGGAGCAGAACAGGCTCCAGGACTTGCGGTTGTAGCCAATGCGGCAGTTGTCGCCGTAGCCCGTCCTCTTGATGCTTTTGTAGGTGACTCCAATGGCCGCCCCCTCCCCACTCCATTCTACCTCCCAGTAGTAGCACCCCCCAGTGAGAGGCTCCTTACACAGGACTTGTGGCAGGGAGTCAAACCGGGCGGCGTTGTCACTGTAAGACTGGGCGTCCCTCTTTAAGGCGGCTTTTCTGTTTCCTCGAGACAAGTAGAGCTGTCTGTAGGCCGTGTTTGGGTCCAGAGTGAGCTGACAAGCATCTGGGGAGGGGCAGAAGGTAAAGAGGACATTTACTACACCGTGAGAAACATTTAACTTAAATTGCTAATTAATGAGTAAACCCAAGAGGCCAAAGAACCCTTCACCTGCTGCAAGTGGTTAGCAGAATGTGAATAACTTTTCTATCTCTGTTAAATGTGTAACTGGTTTCTGCAGCAGCATGCTCTGCAGGAAAAGCAGGAGACCCTCTGGCTGGACACACACAGAATCAGAATGATCCCAGCAGTAAGATGTCACCTGCTGCTGTGCACCTCTAGCTCTGCAAGTCATAGAAGGTGGGACACTCGCTGGCTTCGGATAGTTCTGGCCTGGCTATGATCTGGAACGCCAGAAGTATAATCACCGTTTGTGAGCTTGGCCGAGCACAGAAACAAACAGACCAACTTAAGCTCTTACGTGAGATTCACAACCTTTGCTCCGAGCAGTCTTAAAACAATTAATTTCCTGGATTCTGTGTTAGCAGTTCAGATGAGATCAAACAGATAAAAACAAGGAGGGGCTGTTAAACTCCAACTGGAGTAAAAATCACAAACCTGTGAGAGGGCCAGCAAGCTAAAATGGAAAAGAATGTGTCACCGCTGCGGGACATGCAGGTGTTTTTAAAAATCAGATTTTGTGGTCAGCCACAGGGTCAGTAAACTGAGCGAAAGAGAAGTCGCTGTCAGAAAACAGGGACTCACATCTCAGGAAGTCTTCTCTGTAATGAGGCTCCTGGACGGGGACAGACTTGTACATCACAGCTTCTTCACCTGTGGAGGAACAAAAGGGAAACTGGTCAGAAAATAACTGCAGCTGCGAATCAAATTTAAAGACACGGTCAAATAAAAAAAATCACTGCAGCCTGTAGTAACATGAAGCAGATCTGAACCCTCCAGACTCAAGGATTTCAGCTCATTTCCACTCTTAGTATCAACTTCAACACTGACAGGTTGAGCCTCTTAAACAGTAAAAGTTTAACCAAACTGCAGCGTGACTGGCCTCGAGATGTCCTCTACAACCACAAGCAAACATGAAGGACTGAAGGAGTCCTGCGCTGGTGGTGATCAACGTTCAGCCTGGCGGGACCTTCAGATTTATTAAAGCTGCAGTTTTCCAGGTCAACCGTGCACAGCAACTAAAGATTATAATTTCTTTATTAATACACGTTTAACACATCAAAATTCCAAATAGATTATAACCGGGGCTTAATTTGAGCCGGATCCTGCCAGAACAGGATCTGGGAACGCTCTTATTTTGACAGGGTGCGTTCCAGTAACGCTAAAGTTTACTAATAATAAAGTTATGAACAACGATGACTGCTTGAACGAATAAAATCTATATTGGATATGTAAACTGAAAATGATTACATAAACACTCATTTTAAACACAACATGACTTCTTAATATCACATACGAGCTGCCCCTTCAAGTAGCATTTCCGTGTCTACTCTTAATAAAACCTCAGCCCCTAAAAGAGTGGTGGGGTGAGTGTCGAGCTAACCAGGCAGCCACCATGAACACACGGAGGAGGCGCCTGGAGGCTTCACATGTGGAGTCAGACAACAACGAGCAAGGGACCGGGTCGGGCTCAGAACCGTCAAGTAAAGTGGGGTAGGATGCTTGACTGAAGCGGAGTGTTTACAAATGTAGCAATACACCAAAATGTAGGAAATTGCATCTACTTTATTCAAAATTTTCTTGGGAAGGACCCCCAGACCCCCTCCTCCCCAACATTTGCGTTCGATCGGTTTACAAATTAAGCCCTGATTATAACAAATATGACTCATATTTTTCGGCCTATATGTCACGGCTTTTTGGCACAATTCACATGCACTGTGACTTATACACTGAAGTGACTTATTTATGGATTTTTCCCATATTTATAAACCAATCTGAGATATGACCGTTTTCATTCATTCTGACTGAAAATATTGAACACTACCATTTTCAGCCACTAGATGGCACTCGTGTAGTGTGGCATGCCGTTGTGTCATGCAATAGGTAAAAGTGGCTATTAATGACACTATCAGCTTGCCACAGCCTGCCACCTTCGTCCAGCTCGCCTGGAGCAACCGTCAAATCAGCTTCATTTTGCTGCGACGCCCTGATGAAATGCAGCTGATTTGACCATTAAAGTGCATTTAGTAAGGGGGCCGAGATGGTGTAGAGGCAGGGCAGCCGGCTTGGGACCCGAAAGTCCCAGGTTCGATCCCCAGTCACTGCACATCACGTGGCGTCTCTGGGCAGCACGTCTCATCCCCAAAATGCCCCCCGGGCGCTTTCAATAGCTGCCCACTGCACCACCTGGTGGTGGATGGGTTAAATGCTGAGACTAATTTCGCCATTGTATGGAAACAAACATACAGTGCTGACATTGTGATGACATTATTATTATTATTATTATTATTATTAAAAGTTAGACTGAGACACACCTTTATTATAATGTCAAGCAAACAAATAATCAGTGGTGGGATGGAACTAAGTACAAATACTTCATTACTGTACTTAAGTACATTTTTCATGTATCTGTAATTTACTTAAGTAGAGTTAAATGTGGGTACTTTATACTTTTACTCCACTATATTTTACATCAAGTATCTGTACTTTCTACTACACTACATTTCTATAATGCGTTGCATTACAAGTTACATTCATGTTGCGGCTTTTTGATTTGTTTGTTTGTTTGAAAGTAACCAATGGTGAGAGGGGAGTTGGTCCAGTGAATCACTGCAAAGTGGGCAGGTAACGTTAGGCCATCTTCAAGCAGAGCTGGGCCAATGACATATATTCTAGTATATATGTCACTGAGCTGCTGCACCCGCAGCACCACTAACACACCCAAAATGAATTCCACCACAAGAGAGTCAGCCAGAAGATATGCTCCATCCATGGCCTTATTGAAAGACTGCTCAGTACAACAGGACAGCTGCTCTCTCCCAAAAGAGCCAGACTGGACTCAAAAATGTTTGAAAACCAACTTCTTCTGAACTTGAACAAGAAATTCTTGCTGCAACATTAAAATGTGTCAGTTCATGATGTTAGGAGACAAGAGATGTCTCCAAATGGCTCGACACTCAGGTCCAAGTTTTAAAAATGGTGTCAGGAAGTTAAAATATTGTTCAATATTGATCCACAAGGTTGAATAGACAGTATTTTAACTAGAGTTGATGACAAACTGGAGTTGAAATATCAGTGGAAATGATCAGAGCCTGTTCCTTTGTTAGTTGTGTCTAATGCTCCTTTTGTTCAGGCAGACAACTTTTACTTAAATGTGTTTACTGCAGTTAAAATGACACATTGGTTTTGATTTGTGTTAAATAAAAACTTTCAAAGGTATAACGATTCCTCTTTCTTATTTCAATTAATGACATTTAACTCATGTCATCCCTGAAATTCTGACGCACAGAATCACAAGTCCAAGTGTGAACTGTGTCACAGAGTAAACACAATAAAAACGTGTATTATCTGCAGCATCGTTCATTAAAATGACTCAACACTATTAATGTATTACAGAAAATATACATATGGTAGGCACACTTAAAGATACGTAGACCATTACATTATGTAATACATTCAGCAAGTCCTTTTACTTTTAATACTTTAAATATTTTAAAAGCATGTACTTGTTTATTTTTACGTAAGTAAAAATGTTAATGTGGTACTTCTTCTTTTACTAGAGTACATTTTTGTCTGTTCATTTGTACTTTTACTTAAGTACAGTGTTTGAATACTTTCTCCACCACTGCAAATAATTGTTTTAGGTGGTTAACTTGTTAAATTTCAAAGAAATGCACAGCGAGTCGTCTCGTGCATGCTCCTACTTCAGCGTATCAGCATTTGAAATGCAGCTGATTTGACCGTCAAAGTGCATTTAATAAAAAAAAGTTCAACTGAGACACACCTTTGATATAATTTTGAGCAAACAAATAATTGTTTTTAAGTGTTTTTTTTTTTTTTTTTAAGTATTAATCTTGTTAAATTCTTGTTAAAGTTCTCTTGTGCACGCTTCCTCGGCTGCCATTTGGCAGCCAATCGATTTTTGGCACAACGCCGGCCCACATTTCTGGGTTGTCTGCGGTGACGCATAATACATGCAACTTATACGGCGCAGCGACATTTTCTTTTCTCACGTTATTAAACATATTTGGACTCATGCAACTTATAGGGCGGTGTGACGTGTATGGTGGAAAGAACGGTAAATGCAAAACTGAAAAGCCAATTTGAGCTCATAGCTGGTGATTTAAAAAATGTAATCAGTCTACCTCTAAGACTGTTTCCTGCTGAAAATCTGTTTGAATCTGAGCAAATGTTGTCCTTGACCCCTGCAGTAAACTCTTCGTAACTCTCAAATTGAGTTAATTTATGACACGCTCAACGATTTTTACTGCTCCACATTTGAGCTGTACGTGACAGAACGATGCAGACTCACTTTTGATGGACTTCTTCCTTTTAGGGTCATTCAGCTGACAGAAGCTCATCTTGTTCACTGTGAATAAATAAGTAGAAACAGAGTGAGAGCGGTTGCGGTGTTTATATGTTCACTATTTGTCCACAGCTAAGACGAGCTGGTCTCGCGCCACACTCACCGGTCTTGGCGACCTTCACCAGCTCATCATTGCTGAATTCGTTCATGTGCTGCTTCATCTCGGACACAGACTTAGTCACGGGGCCGAAGCTGAAGTAGGGATTGACGGAAACTGACGGCAGCTCCTCAGCTTCTGTCTGGGCTATCAGCATGTGGTAGCTCTGACGATGAAACACAGCATCACTCTCACATCTGCACGTTTCACCACATTACAGAAGATGTCTTGGTGTTTCTGTTCCATCTACTACCTGGATGAAGTGGATGTGGTCCTCGGTGCGGGACAGCTGGGTGATCTCATTGTCTCTCCTCTTCAGGTCAGCGATCTCATGGGTCAGACGCTCCATGTGGCCCTCTGCGTTGTTGAGTGCTGCTCTCTTGTTGGACGATATCAGCTTGGTCATCTCCTGCTGCATCCTCTCAATGGAGCGCATCATGTCACCGAACATCTTCTCGCAATCCTGCAGCGCTCTCTGTGCCGAGTTCTGCATGGGAAGAGAAGGGGTGTTTGTCATACATCAAGTGGGCGACGCGGGTTAAACAAGCACACTTTTAGAGAACGTTGTCAGCGCCGGCTGATGTAATGTAAAGTTTAGTGGTTGTTCTGGCCTTAATGGTCTGATGAATGGTGGGGTCACGAACCTTGAGTGCGTCCACTGCATGCTTTAGTTCCTCCATCTGCTTCAGGCGGTCATGAATCCTCTCCTGGATCTCAGCCTGTGTGGCGCCCAGTCGTTGCTGAGAAATAAACAACAGAAAAGGATATTAATCAAGAAGGAGCACCCACAGACGAGCTGCTAACATTTCCACCAGGGTTTCACAAGGGTTCCTACAGCTTTGGTGTGGAATATGTTCAGTATTGTCCAGACATGGATAAGTATGGAAACTATAACAGAATGTGGAACATATTTGTGTTTTCAGACTTTATTCTTTGTTCTATTTGATTAAAAAAGGTACAAATTACATTTTTTAAATGAGTTGCTCGAATAAGGCTTTATTTATACGTACAAGAAAAACACATGTAAGTTCTTGTTATAAAATGATTTATGAACCTTCAAACATTTAAAATTGTATTATATAAATGCAGATTGTTTGCCATATATTGTTAATCCAGCACTAAAGCAAAGGTTTTAACCATACCTTTGTTACGCTGTTCCCCTTATTTATCTTTTGTACACAGTCTGTACTGTAGATAATTGTTCTTAGGCTCCTAGAATGGCCTAAAATCAAAGAATTATGACTTCTGAGTCTGGAAATGTCTGAAGTTTTGACAGTGGAAGTATTTAGGAACCCTGCAAACAGTTTAAGTCTTTGTTTGATCTAACTGTAGTTGCATTTTTCATTCTGTACTCGACACTGCCTGCTGCTGCAGTGAAACATGACGACGATGTTCTCGTATGTGTGCACAGGGTATTGTAGCGTTCGATCCCTGTGCTGCTGTCCAAATCTGCATCAGCCTCATAAACGTGTCAGTTTGCACCTACCTGTTCGTCGGCTCTCTCCTGCTCTGCCGTCACCATGTCATGACCCTTGTGCTCCTTCACCGTGCACAGCACACAGATGCACATCTCGTCAGTGCGGCAGAACAGCTCCAGACCTTTCTGATGCTGCGGGCAGATCTGCCTGTCCAGGTGGCCGATTTCGTCCACCAGCTTGTGTCTTTTAAACGTGGCCGACTCGTAGTGGGGCTTGAGGTGCTTCTCGCAGTAGGAGGCCAGGCACATCAGGCAGGTCTTGATGGCTTTGTGCTTCTTGCCGACGCATATGTCACAACCCACATCCTGCGGTCCTGCATAGTTGTAGTCAGGGGATGGAGGTGGCGGTGGAAAGATCTCTGAGCTGCGTTGCGTGGTTACATAGCGGGAGCCTCCCATGCGCCTCGGAGTGGGCCTCTTGTTGTAGGTCACCCTGCACTCAGGGCACTGGTAGGAGCCGGTGTGGTCAGCATGGTCCCAGTATGTCTTCAGGCAGATGGAGCAGAAGACGTGACCACATGGGATGGACACCGGGTCCCTGAGGTATTCCTTACACAGGTAGCAGCTGTCCTGATCTGAAGACATGGACAAATCTTTGGTGGTGTTCCTTCTGGTGTAGAGGAGAAGGCGGCAGACACCGACTTGAGTCAGCGCAGTGGCAAAGTGATCTTACAGGTAGTACGGGCGCAAGTTTTATAGAGTAAACAGAGGTAGGCCAAACTGGTTGAGCCGAAACCAGTAAAACAAGGGCGGGGTAAGAAAGGGACACACTGAATATGTCCAACTGTTACAGAGTGCGAGGGGAATGAATGAAATGTGTGATCTTAAGCTACAATCTTGTTGTTGAGTGATGGCAAGCAAAAAAAAAAAAAAAAAAAAAAAGCCATCTCCTTTTTTAGCTATTGAACATCTGAGGAAAAATCTCGGTCTAGAATTTGATGCATTTATAAAGAATGGGGGCAATCAGAGCCTAAAATTAGATTTCCTGATTAACTGTATTTGTTAAATTTGTTTTATAAACTGATAACACCGAAAAGAAGAAAGAATATGTTAAATTTACTCAAGTGAGAAGCAGCAGAGTGATGCAATCATGGGTGTGTCACGTGCTTCAGTCAAGTGTGCTACCTGGAAAAGCCTTTATTTCCTGTTAGCATGCAGAGACATCCACTCAAATCACAGTACGAACAATTCAAAGATCTCACAGAGGAATTGAGCCATTTCATATATTTGACTGAAGTATTTTTACCAAAGGAACCACTTTTGGTCTCATTTTGCTGAATTCAGTCAGTCTCCTGCCAATTCATCTCAACTCAGTTATTTATTAACTCTTCTCATTTCATTCGCACAGATCCCATGTGTTAAGCCACACTTTGAACATATTCACGTATTTTAATTTAAAAAAGTAAATAAGACTTTTGAAAAAATGCATGTCTCCTCTGAGTTCGAACCTCCTGGTATAAAACTGACCTCACAGTGAGCACACCTCTCAGCAGTTTCAGGGCTGTTGAGATGGAGGTAGGAATGCAACTACACTTGATAGCCCAGATAACAGGAGGGCCAGGAAAGCTTGCTTAAAAGATTCCATTGTGTCGGAGCCAGCAGAGCCCGACCGGAGTGCCAGGCCTTATATACAGCGGGCTCTGTTGTGTGTCAACAGTGACTATGGCCGACGTGCAGAGCTAAATCTAGCATCTTTTTTTTAACCTCAAAAATTCCTCTCGCTGAGGTCACGCTCTTTTATGCAGATCATCTAATGTTATTTGAGATTTAATTAGTGCTACCAGGGTAAAAATATGTGATACTTTTAGGATTTGGGGGTGGGGGGGGTGTCAGTGCAGAAGCATTGAAGCATCCTTCATACTTTGTGGCCGACGTTCTTCTGTTTCCGTCGCTTTGAGGAAAAACTCATGAAGAAAACAGCAAATGATGTGGTTTGACTGAGAATACGGCGCTGTAACCTCTGGTAGCTGCACACTGCATGATGTAAACACAACGGCTGAGAAACCCCTTCACCACACTTCAGACACATTTCTCAGCAGAAAGTTTAAGCAAGTTGCAGAAAGTTGGACTTTACATGTGTAATCTGGCATTTTCAGATGTAGTATGCTTTCCACGCAACACGTTTTAAATTGTGTTATTGCTGTGCATCACAGAATATTTAACTTCTGAGATAAACTTTCTAAACTTTTCAAAAGCTCCTCCTTTTTCTACACTCACATGGAAATGTACCCGTGTGGCATTAAAGTTTTTTTTTTTTTTGCTTTTTGCACTTAGCTCAGCTAAGATTATTACTAAAGTGCAATATTTCCAAGTTTCTGCAGAGTGGTTATGTATGGTGAGATTTAGCTGCTGTGGCATCCTTTATGTTAATTTGCTTTAATGAAACTTTGGTCTTGCATCGAGTATCGTTGGTAAATCACTCTTGTATGAAGAAGAATCTGATTACAAAGGGACTTCCAGTCAATCAGAGTTGCACTTCAACTGGAGGAATCAGCTTTAACATCTCAGGACATCTGCAGACACGGATCAGCTGCAAGAAGAAATGAGTCCCAACAAGACGATTGACTGATTTTACGTACGAATGGTCCATGTCCCTGAAATGCTTTTTAAATTACTTTGTTCAAAAATTCCTAATTATCTGTAAAAGTACTATTTTTAAGCAGGACGTGGTCTTTGTTCTCATAAAGCGCAGTCCAAGTTTTACAACAAAAACATTTACTGGCCCTGCTTTACCTCGGCTGCAGGGTTTTATCTTATCTTATGTGTGTTGCTTAAGAATCTGTTTCGTATCAAACACGACTATTGTGAGAAGAAACAAGTTATGAGGAGAAAAGAATTATCACCCAACCATCTGTCAAAAGTTCAATTCTTACATAAGAATGTTTTTGTGGGTGTGTCCCAAAAATAACAAAGACCAACTTCCCTTCGTTGATTCAGACAAAACCTTGGAGTGTTCTTACCACCAAGCTTTGATTCGTCTGCCTGACTGGAAATTAAAGTGTATTTAGAGCCGCCCTTTGAGCAAAATAAATAAGAAACAAGTTATTATGCAGGATTTGGGTCATATCCTGTTTATTAAACACGGGACCATTATTTTGGCTTTGCTTCGGTGCTTTTTACACTTTCAAGTCTCCACATTTTACTCCTCTGCTCATATATTCAGCGACGCATGTATCTAATGTTTCAACATGGATTATGTGCACAACGCAAACAGGCTTCTTGTGTTTTCTTATGACACATTTAAAAGTGATATTTTCTGTTTTTATAACTCAGTGAAGTGGATTCTTGTTTCATTTTGATCAAGTA